ATGATCAAGCTGTGGTAAGCCTTCATGGAATACTTTTCCAAGGAACAAACCTTCCAATGCATACCCAAGCTAAAACTGTTTATATCAATTTCCTTGTCACTGTCAAGAAAGTAATAACAAACAGAATGTCAGGAAAACAGTCTGCCATACCTGGTTTTCTGATATATTCATAGCACTTTAATCAAAATGGAAATACAGCAGTGTTAGAAAAACGGCTGCCTCAGTGACTAATTTAGCAGCACAGCATATTTCTCCTGTATTATGCAGCAATCAGGCTGCCACCTCTTCCTGGTCCTGCTGTTGCTGTGCCTTTGACAGAAGCCCAGAATGAAGCTGTTTCTCCCAGCACAAGAACATCAGAGAAGCCATGCTGGATCAGGCTAATGGTCCATCCAGTCCAACACTCTGTGTCACACAGTGGCACAGCATGGAGATAAGCAGAAAGCTTCATAAACTCAGTCTTTGGTGTACTTGGTAACTGTTATAAACATTGGGAGGAAGAACATTTTTTTCCAAAAAAAGAACACTGAAACTTCTTGCGATACAGAAGAGTCTTCAGGGTAGACCTGCTGGAGCCAGAAATGGTCCACAATATCCTATCATAATAACCCAATCGTCTATGAGCCCCAGCAGCTCTGAGAAATCTGGTACAACTCAGTGTCAACCTCTGCTCAAAATACAGGATTGGATCCAGACTCAACTGGCTGTTTCCATTGATTCCCCCTTTCTGCTGCAGACTGCCCTCATGTCATTCCTCAGGGTCCCCTGCTCCAAACAGCATTTGTTGGGGAACCAGAAGGCTACAGGAAGGAGGCAGGAAACTTCCACTCTGCTGATGGAAAATTTAGTCTGGATCCAGCCCACAATTTGGAAGGAGTTTCTCCTGTGAGGACACTGTGCTTAATCTCCCATTGCATAGCCTGAAACATTACATCATGAGATGTCTACCAAGGGGATGAGTGAATCTAGAGCATGATCATTTTTATGCTCAGCATTCTGAATATGCAAAAAGGGCAGGAAGAGAAGACCGTTGTGAATGCTGCAAAAAGATTCTGCAAGAGTTTTGTCCATACTACTTTTCTAGGGGGGACAGGGCATTTGAAGGGTGCTCTTCTACATGAAAGGTTTCTGGCTTTCTCCTTTTAGAGAATACACAGGCAAATAGAAACTGTATTCTACTACAGAAAAGCCTGTTGTAATACTTTCTCAGGGTTTGTTATTCCCACCTAACTGGAGGAAACTCTGTAGTGGGTCTCTGTTCCACAAGGTAAGAATGCATTTCTCAGCCGAAACAAAAGGCAGCACTTACAAGCCAGTTTATTTGGAAATTGCCAAGCATCCATTAGTAAAAATTATTTCTAAATACTCAGATTTATAACTAAAATCTATAGTTTCAAGTGCAATTATGTTGTCCTAATAGATCATCAGACAGTTCAATGCATTAACCTTACAATTTACATTAGAAGTTAACCTTTACACTTCACACTACAACAATGAAACATTTCCTGCTCAGAGACAGCACTCCGGCATCCATTAATCATCACTCAGGCAAATACACCATCAACATTTTTAATTAGCATGGATGCACTCTCTTCTCAGCCCCATCTGTCACAATGGTTGTTTAAAAAGCTGACTTATTGTACTCTGTTTGGGGAAAGGCTCTGGTTAGTATCTAAGAGAAGAGAGATCGTTCATCCATCCAGCCTACCCTGCAGCCTGATAATTCCTACCCCTTCTGTAAGTTGCTGATAACCGCTGCCCTCAGGCCAAGAAGCACACTGGAAATCAAGTAACAGCAGCTCCTACACAGCTTGGGTTAATTTTGGGTCACAATTTATCCACTAGGAATGTTGACTTGACACTTAGGGATTTTGCTTATAAATGTCATACAGGAGGGAAGCTGGCCAGGAAGAAGGAAAATAGAGCAGCATCATGCACCGAAATAAACACACTTTTGCTCTCCTGCCTCAGCCCCTGTCCAAAATGAAAGTAGACTGTAGGAGGGAAGGAAAATCTTAAAACTAGCTACAGATTCATTAAATAATGAGCAACTATCTACATTACCTCCCAAGTGCCGTAGCACCATAATAAGGAAATACTGCATAATTAAAAAAAAATATTACAGTACTTCCAAACACACATTTTTTGACAATAACAGCTCCTCACCTAGGATAAGCCAATTAGCCTCCAATGAAAAGAAAAGCTTTCAATACTCAGCTACTCCTGTGTCCAGGCAAATCGATGATCTATTTGACAGTACAGAAATATAAAACAGCCACCCCACAGAAATTTTCTTTTTCAAGGGGAATTAGTGCTACTAATTGGCCATGTTAGTGAGAGGCCATTGGGAAGCAGTCGGTGGGAGACCCACACGCATTTCTAGCAACATGTAAAAGTAAAAAATATCTATTCGAGGGAGGAGGAGTCATTCAGAATTCTCTAGTAGGCCATCTGAGAGATACAGGCTGCAATCAGTAACCAGCAGAGGAGCACGATGTTAGTTTAGATCCGAATACAAACTTATTGGTTGCTAAATTCCTGTCTATCATATTTTCCCTCAGAAATTGAGTATTAGTCATTGCTTAAGATCTATTGATCAGAGGGGCTCTGAGAAGGAAAGGAAGGGTGTTAATTTAGAAAGGTAACACTTTTGTCTTGTTGCTCCCGGGGCACACATCACAATAAGCACTACAAAATGAAAGCTACCCACTTCCCCTTTCTACATGGACCTCAATCCAAAGTAGACCTGGGAGAGGGCAGAAAGGCAGGGGAATACACCCACTCCTGTTTAATTAAATCCCATAATAAGAAGTTCAACATCAAAGACTTCTAAGCACCTAGCACAGACTTGGGCAAACCTGCCAGACAGTCCACAACAGCACATCAGCCCATTCCCATATGGCGAACTCCAGCAAGTTGCCCTGCTAGGATATGAACTTCTTGGGTGAAAAATCTGATTACTGATTACACTTCAAAGTACACATACAGCACCCCTCTTAAGCAAAGGAACCACACCATTAAAGAACTTGGGTGGTGAGCACTGAAGAAACGAAGCTGACAAATACTCCCAAACAAATGTGTACATTTCTGGATATTCTAAAATGGATTTTCAATCAAGGCTGGGGCAACAACAAAAAAAGCACCCGACTGGTGGACTGATCAGTTGTCTCCTTTCTCTTTACAGAACGCTAGTAAAGAGGGACTCTTATTAAAGAACTTACAAGGACAGCTCTGTCTAGTACACACTTATGAAAAATGTTACCATTGTCTGATCCAGGCCCGTAGCCAGGACTTTGTGGCTTGTGGGGCGATTTTTTTTCTGGCATGGCTGCCATTGTTTGCTCCCAGCTCCTTTATCCCCCCCCCCCCCCCCCGCTTTGGTTTCTCTCCCTCAGCACACCATTTTAAAAAAGATGTAAAATATTAAAAAATTAAAAACCCGGTTTTAGAAGGAAATCTTGTGGGGCAGAACCCCAAATAGCCCCACTGTAGCTACAGGCCTGGTCTGATGTGTTCGCTTTTGAAACAGTATAGTGATTTAAAAAAACTAAATCTCCACTACAGTGGAGATCATATGAGTACCAAACTGATAGGAAGCTTTTTCCAAATCCCTGGAGTGATGCAATGAAGCCATATTTTGATGAAGACAGAAGAAACTGATGTGAAGCAGAGTGCGCAAAAGCCCATGCACAGGTAGGGACTAAAAGTATTCATATTTTTCAAACAACCAAGTTGACAAATTGAAAATGGAAACGCTCTCTTTATCCACGTGGGCTAGGCTGCACCAAGAAAGGGCTGAGATAACCAGCCACTCTGTCCATTCAGTGGCCTCGTGCAGGGGATGTGCAGAATTGAAGGGAAGGAAACCTAAAACAAACGGCGCTTTCCAAAACATTCCCAATTCTGAATTCAGAGAGCATTCATTTTCCAAAATGTGAATGTCAGGACGACACTTGAAGGGCTGGCTGTAGAGAAACTGGATCAAGGAAAGATTTGCATTTGCACGTATTCCTTCTGTTATGGCAACCTCTTGCAGCCACCCCTTACCCTCCTTCCCCCAGCTCCCCCACATTATCAAAATTTAGACTTTAGGGTCCTCTCAACTGGAACCTACATTTTTTTCGTTTTATGTCAATAATGGGTTGGACCCAGAACACCATTTCCACATGTGCAAGGAACTCTGCCTGCGGAGCGCAGCTTTCACAGTTGCCCCCTCTCAAAACAGGAATAGGATTTCAAGAGTCAACTGGATCTGCTGTGGGAGCCATCTCACTCTGTGGGTGGATGCCCTTGCACCTACAGAAACACTGCGCTAGATGCAGCTTTATGGATTATACCCTACCACATTCCACTGATGGAAGCAGGACCTTTTCCTGCCAGCTTCCTGTGACCGTCGAAAAGACCCCGTTTTTTGTCCTCACAAGCAAAAAAGCCACACAAGTTAAGGGTCGCTGTGAGAATGGTGGAAGAATGTCACCAATTGCACTGGGACGATGTTATCAACCAACAAGTCTCTCTCAAGAGATGGTGATCAACAGAAGCCTTCTACTTTTAAGGAATAAGAAAGAAGTATCAGGTTACGCACTGCTGATCAAACACAATTTTTGAAGGGGGAACATAAACAATAATGCAGCCATTTTATATAAGAAAAATAAGGAAAACAAACTAGCAGAGCTTCCCAAGTTTTACAGGCAGTGTCATGCTGCTAATCACTGAAGCAGGTTATTTCCACGAAGTGATATCCCCCAGCAGACTAAACACTGTGATTGCTGTCACAATATAGCACCCCTCCATTTGGTGCAACGCATGAAATATTACATTCTGGAGTCCAGAGCTTGCCAAAATCAATGCACAGTGGTGCCAGTGAAACAAAAAGGACCACACATAGACCAGTGTCTGCAAGACTGAAGTCCTGAGTGGAGAATATGGAACATAAATGCTGATCTGCATTTTAGTAGATCGCCCAAACATTCCAACTAAATAACAATTTAACAACTTACTTTTATTGCCTACCAGTGCCACATGAGGCTGAGCTTCTGACTCTTCATTGACCTTTTTTGTAACATTGTACCAGTCTTCCAAGTTTTCAAAACTCTGCTGGTTAGTGATATCATACACCAGAAGGACAGCCTGAGGGAGGAAAAGCACAATTTATGAAGAAAAGTATATTAATTTATGCTATCATTTGAAGTCTCCAAGAATGGAGACAGTCCCTTCTGTAAATACGACTCCTGTAACACAAAATGAAAGTTATACAAGCCTGATATGCTCAGGCTCCTTAGCATGTCCATGGAAGAAGAGGACATGATGGAGCCTCAGGACCATGACCCCACCCACAAGCAGAGCGGATAAAAACAGATTTTAAAAATATAAAATTTTTAATAAATATATAATTTATTTACATTTTAGCTCTACCAAGTTTCTCTTTTAAAAATGACTGACTTAAAAATCAAATCTGAAGTTAAGGTCTATGTACAATTGGTTACAACTGAATTTTCTCCCCCCCCCCCCCCCCCAAATTTTCACATTAAATTTCCCCCCCCCCCCCCCAATCAATTTACGGACGCTGCTGTTCTCTGTAAAGGGAAAAAACTGGAAAAGCAACTTCATCAAATAATCATATAGCACAATCATTTATGCATTTATTCTACCCGATACTGTGGCCCCAAAACTGACAAGTCACTCTGAGCATTATCCACTGGGTGGCCTTTCAGTCCTATTTCTTATCTAGAGTCATCTCACCTCTCTGCAACCGACCCAGTACTCTAACTAAAAATATTTCTCTCACTGTATCTGAAGAAGTGTGCATGCACACGAAAGCTTATACCTTGAATAAAACTTGGTTGGTGTTAAAGGTGCCACTGGACTCAAACTTTGTTCTGCTGCTTCGGACCAACATGGCTGGCCACCTAGGTCTAAAAGTATTAATGACATTTACCTACCGATCAAAGAACATGGACATTTACCTTCTATCTCCTAAATGAACAATGATCTGACCAATTACTTCCTCCTGACCTTCATTCTGGTAGAAAATATTTCCTTTTTAGTTCTGGGCCAGAAGAGATATACAAGAGAAGGGGCATGCTGTGTGTGTGTGTGTGTGTGTGTGTGTGTGTGTGTGTGTGTGTGAGAGAGAGAGAGAGAGAGAGAGAGAGAGAGAGAGAGAGAGAAAGCAACACTGGGAAAAGGAAGCAATTTTCTGATTGATTGGTATCTAACATAGATCTACAAAAACCTGTTAGGGCTGTAGCTAGTCAAAGATACCCTACCTGAAGCCATAAACACCATTATTGACAAGTATATAATGTACAGTACATTGTTTTCGTAAAACAGTGAAAAAAATAAATATTTAAAAAGCATTTAGTGTACCCTCCCATGACATATAAGGCCTGTATTCATTTTTAAATCAGTATGTTTTATGGGTGACCTGACCTGGACAGCCCAGATCGTCAGAGCTCGGAAGCTAAGCAGGGTCAGCCCTGGTTAGTATTTGGGTGGGAGACCAACAACAAAGTTCAGGGACATGACGCAGAGGCAGGCCATGGCAAACCACCTCTGAACGTCTCTTGCCTTGAAAACCCTACAGGGTCGCCACAAGTCAGCTGTGACTTGACAACAAAAAAACAAGTTTTATGGTTATAGCGACCATATACTAAATATATACACAATGTGAATTTAATTTTATTTAAGAGGTAGTAAAATTTTGATTTAAATCAATCCCCATTCCATCTCGCCCTGTGGAAAATGTCACATATTATCCAAAATGAATGCACACATCTCCTAGAATGGAGCTGTTCACATAGAATACAAGCCTACTGGGGTAGTTCCTGAACTTATGACTAATGATACTAGCCCACAGTATTGTGTCAGATGGTCCAGATTGCCTTCTTAGCCATCAGCATCCTTTCCTGTCTGTGAAACATTGTCACCAGCACCCTAGTTCTCAGCATGCTGTAGTTCCCATAACTGTCTGAAGAGCTCTGCCTGAATTTCACTAGTGTACCAATTACAGTAAACTGGAAATGAAAATGATAAACATCAGGGTCTAGGGTATTCTCGCAAAAGACCAAGTTGGTCATGGATAACATAGCAGCTGGATAGAAGAGTTGGTGATGAGAATTCCTGAACAAAGCTCATCCCTTATTTTAACTTGTGTTTGACAATTAAACAACGTCCTGGCTAAGGCAAAGAAAATATCACTAAAGCCCACATCTAAACATAATCTAGACTGTGGATACCTACAAAATCACCAGCAATTTTGCTGTCATCAAACATGACCACAGCCAATGGAAAGCTCTGCTGTGGGACATGGCTCATGAAACAGGATAGCATCAAATGAAAGGGAGAGGAGGAAGAGGCAGGGTTGGCCAGCTGCTTCTTGCTGAAGGTCACATACTGAGTCAGAATGGTGTCGTGATTAAAAGTGAGCCAGGAACACCAGGGTTCAAATCTCACTGCTGTCATAAACGCACTGGGTGTCTTTAACGAAGCTGCCACCTTCTCTGCCCCAGCTCATCTGCAACAGGGGTCAGTATAACAACACATCTCATGCTATATCTGTTGTAAGGATCAATGAAATAACATGCAATGAGGTGCTCTTCAGTTCTCAGAAAGCTTCAAATAAATATGAACTGACAGTAAGAGCAACAGAAACATACTATTATTAATGAATGCTCAGAATGAAACGCCATCCAAATGGTTCGGGACTGACCGTGTGGGAAGCATTTCTGTTACTTCTCATGTCTCCAATCATTTTAAACTTTGCCCATGGAGCTCATTGCCATACAAGGAAAGCCCCATGTTATTGGGAGCTTTTAACTTAATCTCACTTTACAACACTTCCGCTTCATATGTAGGAAAACATGATTTGGCAACACAGATGTGGCAAAGTTGATTCAGGATTGGGTTATGTTATGTTAAACATCTGTTAACTACATTTTTGAAAATGACTAGCTTTAAAATTTAACTACTTGGCCCCTTTTTCATCTCCTAATGTGCAATTTCCAGGTTTTCCTCAGTTAACAGTTCTTCCTCTATTTTTACATGCTAACACACAATATTTACATGTTGCCAAAAGCAGCAAACAAATAATCTTTTTTTACAAATATACAATAGCCTTTTTGTGCATTTCTCTAATTTTATTCAAGCAGTCCAAAAGATGCATTTCCAAAATCAAATGTTATGTTGTGGCTCCTTTCCAAAATAACAGAAAGTTCATTGTCTAAAACATTTCTTATTTTTTAAAAATCCAGAAAGGGTACTATAAAATGGGATTGTTTGTAAAACATTTTAACCATTCTGCAAAAAAAAAATTTTCGCTACCTGGTTGACTTCTTTTGTTCGGCCTCCTTGAACCTCAGCTGGTTGAGTAAGTTTAATGGCATAGGATTGGTCTTAATTTCCTCCTCTGCCTTCGCTCCCCAGGAGGCATCTGCACTCAAAACAGCCACTATACCTACCATACCGTGGGGATATCTAAATAACCTTGGCGAAGATGGCTATTTCCAACTTAACCCACAATGCAGGGCAATGAACATCTGTTTCAGAAAGCTGTTAGAGATATACAAACTAGCACCTTTGCTTCATAAAAGAAAATACTGTTGAGCGATCCTGTATAAAAAATTTAACCTAGTTTAACAAAATCAAAGTTCAAAATAGTTTCACTTAAGCAGATGTTTACATTTTACAAGTCGCTTAACATTTCTCTCCTAAACTTTTTTCTTTCATGTAAACATGTTAGAAAAGCCAACACTAAAATAACTGCAGTAGTTTTTAAAACCATACCTGTGCACCGTAGACATATTTATCCAACATCTTGCCTCCTATTGTTTGGCCACCGATATCCCATACTTGAACAGTAACGTTTACATTTCCTGTAGCAAGAGAAAAACACCAAAAACTGAAGTGTTTGAATATCTAATTTACAGGAGGCAAGTACAACTAAGATTTCAGTGTACATGTCAACTATGCTGGATTGTGTTTGTTTGGGGGGGGGTGTGTGCATGAGGACATCTATTGTGACCTTTCCAAAAAGGAACCATATTTGACCAGGATCCAAAAAGCCACAGAACTTGTATGGCTGGGTTCAAGAAGTGTTACATCTAGGGTTCTCAAAGTGGTAGCCCCCCCCCCTTTTTTTAACTGAGGGCAACTTTTAAGAGTTGCATTGACTGGAAACTGTAACGTGCCTTTGTTTAAATAATGCCAGTCTATTAAGGTTACAATGGGACAAATGGCAGCACCTGCTGTACAAAGAAAAACAGCCAAAAATCTCACAGAGACACACCTGAATAGCTGCCTTGGACACACCTGAAAAGCTGTCTGGAGTTGTCTTTGGGAAGCATATACAGCAGGGCTCAGATCCAAATAGCTTTTTGGGCCCAAAGGTTTGCCTGAACCCACTGAACTGTGATTTCTTTGACCAGCAAAACCACCCCGATGCCATACCATAATCTGCTTTCAAACTCCCTGCCCACCCACTCACATTTACAGAAACCACCTGAGGAACCCATGTTCAAGAAATGCAAAACCTTCCTACTTGGATCCTGGCCTGCTATATAGAGCAATAATTTTGCAGACCAATTATGCATTTGGCAATATAGATATCATTTGTGCATATTTCAGCCAGGAAAAAAAACATTTATAATCTCTGTGTCCTGACCTGGACAGCCCAGGCTATTTATGAGGAGGAGGAGGAGGAGGAGGCTCTGACACAAACTGCTCTTTTTCAAGGACAGCTGTGCCAGAGCTTGTGACTGACCCAAGGTCACATCAGCAGGTGCAAGTGGAGGAGTGAGGAATCAAACCCGGTTCTCCCAGATTAGAGTCTGCACACTTAACCACTACACCAAACTGGCTCTCTAGGGTCTGTCTATTAACATTTCCAATATTGTTCAGCTTCTTAAATGGTTGCAGTCAGTAGATCAAGTGTGTGTGTGTTGGTCACCATAACTAATACATTAATATATTGTGAATATTGAACCACTAACGCTACTGTATTCCTTTTAGATTTCTTGTATGTTGGGAATTCTGCTTTTAAATAGCAAAGGATCTTGTTTTCTTTTCCAGCTGAATATGCAGACATTTTAATTTCAGTTTTGTATAATATTTAAAAATATTAGGGGCACAATTCAACCAAATTTCAAGTTCCTCTGATTTCAGTGAGAGAGCTAAGCATGAGTGAAAAACAAATATTCTAAATTTAATTGAATTAACTTTAGTCAAATTATACCCAAATTTTTTAACAGTGGGGGGGGGTCAGTTAAAGACAGGTTACGGCTGTAGAATATCTTCTCAGACTAGAGAATACTTATATCAATATGAAACTATTTTATCAAAGTATAATATATTGAACAGTGGGGGGGTGGGGGCACAAAGGCTGACACATGAGCCTACCTTGCAAAATATTTTCTAGACACAACAGAAGTCATGCAATTATTTATGCCTAGCATGGCATTTCTAAGGCAACATACACTGTCAGGAAATACTTTTTAATGCAATAAAGTTCTAAGAGCAAAATTATCAGAACACCAAGTCTTGAGCCCAGGTTCTGTGAGCTGCTTTTATAATATTATCCCTATGCAAAAAGCTGCCAACGGGATGTATTATATCAAGACCCAAGTACCTTAGAGTGGCCATTTTTTTCTGCACAGAAATACTGTACCCTTAATAACAGGCACAAAAGCAGAAATCCAAGGGCTTCCATTTTCCAAGAATGCCACAACTTTTCAAATACACAAACAAAGCCAAGGAGTTTTGATTTTTTTTAATTAGCACTAAAATTATTAGAACTATTCATATCAAGGATTTAAATAACTATCCTACTTCTTCATAGTTGACATGACAAAAAGATACTGGGTGGTAGATGCAGCCAGCTTTTCCACTCTCACTCACCTAATTCCCCCTCTTACCGCAGCTCCCATTGCACGTGGCTTTTGTGTATACAGGTCCTATGATACCAAGCATAGCAACTTTGGGTAGTCAAAGGGGACCCTTTTGTACCAGCAAAACAGCTGGTTGGATCCAACCCATACTGTGCTTATGCTGCTCTATATCATTTAAAAGACACAAATCCTGTTATGATTCCATTGATCATTCTTCACAGGAGAAAACGTTACGTATGACTGCAATCTCTTACATGCTTACAGTCCCACTGATATTATATGGAACTGGGAGAAATATCTGGTTCTTTTACAATGGGCAATCAATATAAGTACTAAATGTAGAATTCCTTATTTAATTTTTTTTATCTCCCAAAACTGCCACATCATAGTGGCAGATTTTAGTGATTCAGTACATAACATCAAGCACGCAATCAAATCAAGAAGTATGATTGCACCAAAAAAATAAAGAGACACTAAAAGTGAAGCTGATAAGGTGCAATAATTAATAACGGAAAATGCCTGACGTGTTTTAGTAGTCTTCATCAGTGCAATTTATTCCACAGTTGAATGCACACATATTGCACCGGCTTCTGGTAAGACAGAGGAACTATTTTGAGACACAGCTCCTCTGTGTGTCTCGCCAGAAGACAACACAGCATGTGTCTGATTAACTGTTGAAAACTGCTCTGATAAAGAGCACAGAAACAAGTCAGAACTTTTCTTTAACTATGGCAATTTACTAGCTTCACTTTCCACGTTCCTTCAAGTACATACACACTCCCTGCTTGTGAAAGTTACCTTATCCTCACTATCCTTTGACCTGTTTTGAAGAGATATCTGAAACAATTACATTCAGATGCACGAAGCTACAAACACGCATTTGTTAAGTTCACTGGGAAATTCTTTTGCACAGGCCACACTGAAATGAATGGGAATTCCCATCCTTTGATGTATAGCCTGTGCAAGAGAACTTCTCAGTGGACAGCACCAGAAGTCACCAAACAGAATTGCTGAGAGAGGAATAATTTGTATTCAAGCCACTAGCAAGCAAATTATGTGCAAAAGTATTTTATTAAGATTATAAACTTGCAGAAAAATATGTTTCCAAGCATGGGTTGGTTCCCCCCCCCCCCCCCAATATGCTCATATTGCTCCAATTACAATTTTCTGGGTTGCTAGGGCTATATTTGGTAAATAAATATCTACTTTTAATTGCAATCAGGGAAACTGAGTTCCATTTCTTAGGGTGTTGAATGTCAATCAATCACATACAGAAATGCACATTTTCCAGATGAAGCCACAGCCTTTCAGTAATATTCAAGCGATTTAATTATATATGGTAAACTGGAAAGTATACAGATATATATCACACAATGTTATAGATTTTAGCAATGCTGTATTATTTAAGGTTTTTGCAGATGTATAAAATAACTTTCATGGTCAATGACGGGGGGAAAGTTCTCTTTACAATTCAAGTTTTTGTAGGAATCGTATATTAAGAATGCTTCAGAAATTTTGTTGGAACTTTTTTTTTGGTACTCTACAGGAAATAGTGCTCAATTGAAAGCAAAGTCGATCTTATTAGGGAGTATAGGGCAGTTATCCAAGCTCTTTTGGTCTGAATCGAAGCCACTAGCAGGATTCAACAGCGACCTTCTAAAAGTATACTTGGGGCACTGGTTAACCTTACTTAAAGTTCTACAGTCAAGATGGAACTAAAAACACATGTCTCTCCACCTCTTCACCAAGATTTTTTAACAGTCCTTTCACAGTGAAACCCTGTTTACTAGACTATACCCACAACCTTCCTGAAAGTATTTTGACTATGACTCTTAAGCAGCTCTATCTGTGAAACCTCTGACTAACAGATGCACTATTTTAAGCATTACAATCTGCACAGTGGTTGCATCCAGACTATACAGCACACTGGATCATGAAATATAATGAAATGGACTACTATTTTGAATATAATTTCCCCCTCAAACAGAGAGAATTACATCAGTTTGACATTTTAAAACATTTCCAGGTAAAGCATTCAACTATGTTTGATGCTGTGTGCTGAAAAAAGGCATACCCCAATCCAAAGCACAACGGCCACAATGAGGAGATCCGTGCATAAAACAAGGATCCGAGTGTGAGAAAGAGCCCTCCTGCCAAAAAAAATGCCCAGCACTATCTGTTTGGGCATCACTCACCACCTGTTTAGGGGGAGACAGGAAGAGAGGGGTGTGTAGAACTTGCCCCTTTCCTGATGTCAAACAATCATCAGTGCAGTCAAAGCTACCACAGCTGTCCACGTAGTCAACAAGGTGTGTATAGTAAGAAGTACCACATAAGTAGTGTCACATGCTGGCTGTGAGGGCCCCCCCCCTTTTGAACATACAGACCTATCAAGAAGTGCACAGAGGCCCATTGTATTATATTGGAGCAACTGCGTGAACTACAATTCATACTAACTTTAACAGGGCTCATGCACGAATATTATTTTCTTTATTTACCTCATTCATATCCCTGCCTTTCTACCCGCTGAGGATCCAAAGCAGTTTACATTATTATATTCTGCTCCATTTTATCCTCACAACCACCCTGTGAGGTAGGTTAGTCTGAGATTGCGTGACTGGCCCAAGGTCACCCAGTAAGTTTCCATGGCAGAGAGGGGATTCAAACCTGGGTCTCCTAGATACTAGTCCAACAGTCTAACCACAGTCCTAAGCCGTCTATTATTGAAATTTTAATCAGTATGTACTGTGGAAATACCAGACACAAGTCTGCCAAATGTAAGGCTACCAAATATAAATAACTGAAATCAATATTGCTCTTGATAAACCAGCTGGTGTTTTTGAAAGAGGAAGCAGGAGCCTTGAGCTTAAGATAATAGTGTCCAATTAAGGTACCATCACCTCAATATATGAGCATGAACCCCCCTCAAACATACACCTCTGAGGAAGATAAAATGTATTACCTGCTTTTCTGAATGTAAACAGAAAAAAAATCATCTTTACACAGAGCATCTGCAGCACTAATTTGACCACTTTAACGGTTTAGTTTTAAGAACAATCAGTGCTGCTATTCAAATTGAATTAAAGTCTAGACCTGTGATTTCCATGGACCTTACGCTGCAACTTATTCAGAAAAAAAAATGTTTAGGATATAGTGGACACCACAGGGCCATTTCATTAAAGGACTAAGGCCCCGTTCACACGCGGAAGTAGCTGCAGGAGAGCCACGGGTGGTGGGCAGATTATTCGGGCGCGATCACACCGCCACATCTGGCAAGTGGAGCGCACCCGTGGCCGACCCGTGGCATCCCATGGCAAACGCTGAGTTATAAAAACTACCTGCTTCGATGTAGTATTTTCCAGTTACTATGCGGTGCGGGCGGGCATCTGATTGGAGACGCGCTGGTAGCCCGTCGCATCCAGCAGCCATCCGCCTCAGGCGCATGCGTACAAACACGGTCCTGCTGTGTTTTTGCTGTGTTGCCTCGCTGGTCTGATCGGCTGCTGACGGCCGGATGACAGAGCTGTGGGGGGATGTGAGATCGCGCTACCGCGCTTCTTTTTTCTCCGCAGCTAAAAGCCTCCATTCCCCTGCGGATTATCTGGCCCATGGGACCGGGGCCTAAGGAAAGTGTCTAACTGTTGGTGCTGTAACTTTACACGATGTGTCTCCTAAACATATCCTTCGGGCCTGTCCAGTTATTCAGTCTTTGAGGAAGGCAGTAACTACTCAAATCTATTTTGTATTCGAATATTTATTGATCCTTGAGGATGTTCATTTACTTTTAAACTATTCCACTGTTTAAACTACAGTGAATGAAAATGAACGTTCCATGCCCTTACTTGTTGCTAAAAGGCTTATGTTACAACACAGGAAATATAAATGCCCACCTCCAGTAACCCAGTGGATTGAAGGCCTTACAACTTTATTATCATTTGAACAAACAGCATATATACGCCAATTGTGCACGGACATATTTTTAGATATTTGGAAAGTTTTATAGCTGCTTACCTGTAGACAATATTGTTATGTTATATTTTTATTTATTTCTGCTGGGATAATTAAAAATAATAAACATTTTAAAACTGAATTAAAGACTATGAGCAATGCACATTTTAAAACTATTTAGCCCTAAAATGCTACCATTCTTTTTAAGAAATGATATATCCAAATCTGAAAATGGTATTTTACCATAGTACATTCAGGGGAAGGACCCACAACTGTTTTTGTTCATCAAAGAGTGTAAAAATTCTAGTGCAACATTAGTCGATAAATAATTTGACATCTGCCTATAAATACAGACACCAAAAATATACACATGTTCTCAGCACACAAGTTCTCACGTGCATGGGGCATACGTTCTGCTGGTCTTAGTGTAAATACCGACATGCCCATCGTTCCAGATATCTACCAGGGAAACTTGCAATTAGTTTCTTCGTTCATAGAGAAGCAGCCACTGAGGCTTGAAATTCAATGTCGCACTGAAAATCTGTCATCTGACTATTAGTGGCAGAATCCTCAGAAAGTGGTCAAATGGATGTTAGCACCTATGTATATAAACTATTTTTCATCTCCATGTAAGGGCTAACACCCATAAATTTGATACTGGCTCTCCCAAATTTAACACTAGCTTCTCAAAGCTAAAATATTTCAGAGATCTAATTATCAATGTTATAATTTAGCATTCAGAAGAATGGGAGGGTTAGAAAAAATGCCCTGAGCACCGTTCAACTAATCTATGCCCTATTTGTGTTTTCCTAAAAAAAAAATCCCGTAATATTTTTTAAAGGTTAATCTTACAACCACATTATCATTTCTCCCTCCAGTCTCATGGTGAAAGTACTCTCTCCAGCTTTGGTTTACTAAGCACAACGGGGGAAATGCATTTAATGGAATATTTTTATGCTTACAAACTGAATTACACTAAAATGAACAAATAGTTCATTTTAGATCCCCACTTGTTTAGAAACAAATTTTAAGATCCTGCCATTCTTTCTTAATTATTTCTTTATGTTTTCCATGCAGCGTGCCACAACTGGCATCTAAATAGTTGCTTTGCATCATGAAGTGAAACATCTTGAATGCTCAAACTGTATTTTTATGAGCGCCTAGGGACCCTGCATTTTAGTGGTCTATTAAATGCCAGCAATTTCATGCTGCCTTGCATAAGACAGCATTCACAGATCGCAGCCTAGCAACTCCATAGCTACGTTGCATGTACTCCATCAACCTAAGCAAAAGTGGCGAATACATCTTTCCAAAATCATACTTCTTTCGACAGAAGCACATTTTTTCAGTTTTTTTCTTACCTACTTAGAATCGACACATCTAGGAAGCTCAGGTCACCACATTCCTGAGAGCCTCATCTCTAAATTGAAACAATGCAACCGCAAATACATAACTCTTTATAGGGGTACACCCTGAAACATTATTAAAGCGCCACATTAAATCTGGAGTATTTCAGAATGCAGCCTGTTCTCAGCTTTCCCCACTGTTTGCATTCATGCACGTTAATTCTCCCCTTACCTGGCAATGTGATTCTTTTCAAAAAGAAGTCAAGTCCTACGGTTTGTTTGTACTGCTTCCCGAAAGCTTCTTGAGCAAAGCGTGTGGCTAAAGAGGTCTAAAAACAGAATCACATCAAATCCACTTGGTATCTTAAAAGCCACAACTGAACAGTAACATAATAAATAAAAACAAAGCACATTTTTTTAAAAAAACAGTGACGATAATGCTTCAGTGATTTGCACAGAAATGTAGAAAATAATCACAATTTAAACAGATAATAAAAGAATTTAAAACATAGCAGGTGAAAACAAAGACAAATAACAGTCATACAGCCCAACCTATGCATGATTACTGAGAAGCAAACTCCACTCCTTGCTAAATGAGCATATAAATTCATTCCTAGCTTATATTCATAAATATGTATTTCATCAACTTTTTCTGAGTGCCATAATTACAAATATATTACCATGGTAATGGTAGTCAAAACTGACAGCTTTTGCAGGACAGTCTTCTGGATGATTGGCAGTTTTGAATTTTTTAGAATAAATAACATTAAGTAAAGAAAACGCCTACTATATACAAATGTTACATGAAAACCCTAAACTGCTCCAGCATACAGAATGAGAAGATTCCCAGATCATGTATTGATTAGTCATTGCAGTAACATGAAAAACACTTCTGGAGAATTTGTGCTCACAGTATTTGTTAATTTATTAAAATGTTTACACCCCACCTTTCCTCCTAGATCATCAATACTAGTAGCCATGATCCAAAGAGCCAAACTAATAGTTTACATGCCCAGGGGTTTTTGCGGTATGGCGCAGAGATGTGCAGGTTAAAGGGGGGAAAGCTTAAAATATCTCACACAGCTAATGTGTCTAAGTAACATGTTGGATCCCAGGGGCCAATGATAATTGTTCCGATAGAGAACTGAGACAAACAGATTTACTTTTTACATGTGTGTGTGTGCTCATAAGGACTAACCTACTTGTCAAACGTGCAGGTCCTTAAACTTTTGCTCATTTAGAGGACACTCCTAGAAAGTAAGAAGCAGTTTTCCTAATATTATACTGGTTTTCAGTTCTAAGCACACTACTAAGAAACTTGCAGCATTTGAAAGAACACCTGATTAATGCAATGGAATGCATCTCCTAACATACACGCTTGGGACAAGAGCCTCAATTATAATCACATTATCAAAAGCTTAAAGGGTGTTTTCTGGAAGGATGACATTAATTTCAGATTGCAACAATATAGAAAACAAGTTGTACTGTGCTAGTGTATCAGTAATTCCAGTTACTCCATTCATTACAATAAAAAGGATTTTCAGACCAAATATTCTTCTAAAACTTTGATTTGAAAACTGCATATTAAGAAACATTTCAGCACTCTAATTTCAAATATGTTCACAGGAAGGATGTAAATACAGTAATACATTGATGAATATTCTAAAATAAAAACAAAAGCATGAAAAAAATCCATGGAGGAAACAGTCAATGTTTCTTATTCTGCAAACTGATCCCAACTTCAAATCCTTCTGATAAGAAATGGAACTTCAAGGGCAAAAATATGCACAATATAAATGTAAATTTAGAAAACACAGAACCATCCAGTAAGATTATCTACTTTATTCCTCCCTCTTTGATTTAAGGACATTGTAAATATTAATTTTATCCCTCTCCAACACTTGATATTCCCCAGAGGTTTTTAAAGGTGTTAATGAAAACACACACTGGGTTAACAACTGCCAGTGAGAGCAAGAAGTTATCAACAGCAAAGGAAAGTTCTCTTAAAGCAGCCTTCTTACATCCTCTCCTTAATGAGAAAGAATGTCAAGCGGGAGCTCAGTGACTATCTGGGACCCCTTATATTTTTGCTGTTAATGAATGTGCTACATTGGAGGTCCTGCTCTAACAGCCCTGGAAAAACACGACTTCTAGTTCAAGCCCAAATATTTATACTCCAAATACAACGGCATCAGCAGTTCACGTTCTTCTATTCAGCAACAGGCTTCCAGAAAACTAATTCTAACATTTGTCTTTATATATTTTTCTAATCTTAAGTTTCTAAGACTCTCAAATTTGTAGGACCAGACAGACATTTTGTCCTCAACACACTGGAGTACTGAAAACAATACCTTGAGACCAGTCCACACCTTCTTCCACTAACATATGCACACACAAAAATAGGCAGCGAAGAATTCAGAACAAAACTATGACATTCAATTTAATTTCAGACTGCTGCAACTCCTCTGAAATCAACACACTGCAGACTAAACCTGAAATGCTAGACAACTAACAAAGCAAGCCAAAAGTTTTCTTCGTCTCGGAGGCTAGGATAACCCACCACAAGGCCCTATCCCAGCACCAGTCCTACAGACTAAAGAACACTGCCTTATGGGTCAAAAAGAGCACCCAGAATTAATGCCTAGAATGCTATGGGATACCAGAAATGCCCCTGGAAATGCTCCTAGTCAGCGTACCCATCAGGAACAGCCAGTTATTGGGTTCTCACCAAAGCTGTCAAATGCGAGACCTGGGAACCTTATCAAGCCTTTGGGGTATCTAAATGTAGCTCACACCAACCCCAGTTTCCTTCATTGAATTGCAGATCCTAATGTTCAGGATGATAGGAAGGGGAGAGTAAGAGTGATATTTAACAGTTTTAAAAGGTACCAGCATTATTGCTACGGGTACTTGATCTCATTAGCAGTTGATCAATGAGGCAGCAATTCTCTAGCAATTTTTTTTTTTGGCAGATCATTTATTTACATTTCTCCTAACTGGACTTTCAGTCCACTGGCCTGTTTGGGAACAATGCCAAGCAGATCTACTCAGAAGTAAGTTCCATTTTATTCAACAGGACTTATGCCCAGCAAAGTGTACTTTGGATTTGCAGCCTTAGTGTTCCCTTCAGTTTCTTCACACTCCCACAACCCTTCCATTCTTGACTCCACAAACCAACCTGTATACACAACTGCCCCACTCCCCAGCCAATTCATTTATCCATGTCCTCAGAGCACCTTAACTCTACTTTCCCTGGCCTTGGGGCTGTTACAGTCATCATCTCTTTCTTATTACGACTGTGTTGCATTTTCACTCTCGTTTTGAACACTTTCAGAGTTAAAAAGGGGAAGACAGGGTTACACACAAAAAAACTTCCCATTTAACTTGTATCATCTGTTGGTACCTGCTTAAAGCAGCTTCTTTCAATATTTTGGTGCTTCAGCATCATTTAAAAAAAAGAGAGAGGGCTCCGTCCTGAAGCAATCCCAGCCAATCAGAGATCACACAGGTAACATGATGGCCAGGCAGCATTTCTTTCGGTCCACTACCACAGCCCAATACTTCAGGCCACATGTATAGGTGATCTACGGACCCTCATCAAGACATGAATGCAATCCTAAACAGAGTTACACCCTTCGAAGTCTATGGAAGTCAGTGGTCTTAGAAAGGTATAACTCTGCTTGAGATTGCCCTGACAGGGCCACTTGCTAGCAACGACCCAAATTAGGGCTCCCTGCCCCCCAGCTCTGCAGCACTCAGGGTCCACATCCCCACTGGCATTAGCTGTGGAAACCTTCTTCCTGACACTATTTAAAAACTTATTTTTGTCCTTACAATTGCTGTACTGTTTTATTTAATTTCATTTTCAGCAAATGTTTCAGCTACTCGAGCCATCCCTAAGAGTCCAAACGAAAACCAAAAACTGTTCAAAGTCTTGAATATTATTGACATGCATTCATATTTTATATAATACTGCTAACAGCCAATTCCATTCAGTTTATGAATGCTCACAGACCAATTGGTCATAAGCAAATAAAGAAAAGATTGACAATAATAATTACACTTGCTTAGAACAGAGGTTCCCAACACAGTGCCGGTAGGTGCCATGGCACCCGCTCCTACCTTTCCAACACCTTTGCCAAGTGATTTTGGAAAGTGGGTGGGAGCAGGTGGGGCTCTTGCCCAGCAAGGCTTCTGATTGGCCATGCAGATTTTTAAAAATGTTTCTTTGGCAGCTGCTTCCACTACAGCACAAGGTCAGCTGCAGCAGCCATTTTGTGGCTGGCTCCACCTTCTGCTACAGCCATTTTGTGGCTGCAACCACCACACTGTATCAGAATTACAAAGATGCTCACAGACTCAAAAAGGTTGGGGACCACTGACTTAGAATTTTAATTTAATGACAGTTAAGTAACCTGGGTTTTATAATTAGCACAGATCTATCACTTTCTTTCTCCATTTCAGTTCTACCCAAATATGCAGTGCTTTAAATGCTTCGCTGTTGTTTGACAATATTTGACCAATTTCCCCCCTACATTTTCCCACATAAAATGTTTATACGTGTTGCTGCCAATAAAGAGTTTTTCCTTCTGGCTATATATCCAAGAGTGGACTCAGACATTCAACAAGTGACAATTTGCATGTGAGAAGCAACCATCGTGGATCAAGCTCCAGAAAAAGGACTATCGCCTGATAGCACCTTGCACAAAATTATTTTTCCATATGGAAACAACCCACACATTCCACAATATGCCATCTGTGAAATATCAAGTGATTAACACACCTTTGTAAACTGGCTCGCAGAGATTCAACTCAAATACCCATGCTTTACTCTAAGTATAGTTTATACCCTAAGCTAAGGTTTGTGTTTCAAAACATACAGGCAACCTATGATTTAGTGATGTGCCTTCATTTTTCATCTATTCTGCGCCCAGTCTCTAGCTGTGATGGTCTCTGAAAGTAAAGCCACAGCCATAATGACAGCTGACAAATCACATTAAACCACAGTTGGCACAAACCATAGTTTGTATGCCCACTTCAAACAATGGCAGATTCTGGTTTGCCAACCAAACTATACACTGACATTTCAGACATTCTTCTAAACCACAGACAGACTTCCTTAACCATGACTTGGCCCAATGCCTGAACTGAATCAAAGTAACATATCTATGTGAATCAGCTCTTGAAAGATCTCCAGAGAGATGGCAAATGTCAGAGGACAATTAGCTCTCAGACAGCACAATTTAAATCCCTGCTCAGCCTCGAATTCACTGGGCTTCCATGAGCAAGTCGCTATCTCTCTGCCACCATTTCTACAAAGCAAGACTCA